TGGATGCAGCAGGGGCAGGAGCCGGGGCCAATATATATTGAAGGCAACACGTTTTTCTTTTTTCCAAGACCAATGTCTGGCAGCGTCATCCCAGCGTCTTATGGTGGTTGTTCCAAGACACTTCTCTCGCATCCATCATCTTCCTACAAGTTTCTCTCTCTCTCTCTCTTTCCATCTCTCATACACTCTCTCAAGTCGAACCGGCAGCCGGTGAGTAAGGCAGCGGCTTTACGCTGTATATGTATAGGTCTGTGTGAGTGTAAAGGCTTTTAGGGCTGTTGCTCCTTTTTGTGTTGGTCGCCTTGAATGTTCTCGGTTTGTGTGGCAATGTTAAGTTTTGTGTAGCACAGCATATTCCCCCCTTATTGGTCACACATAGACCCAACTATATACATACATACCTATAACATGTTTGTATGTATGTATGTACAAAGCTTAGTCACAAATATACATTTCAAAACTTGCTGAATGGAGTGGATCCTTTTTGGAATGGGATTGGGGGTTCAGTTGATATTATGTATGTATATCAAATAAACCCCCAAAAGAGAGAGGACTATGATCAGAAATATCTATTAAAACCATTACTGTGCCTCATTTTTCATAGATACATATGTATTTGTTTATATAAGCATCATACAATTTCAAAACTCTTGAAAATATATCAATGAAGTGGATCCCTTTCTATATGGTTTAAGTTGATAAAAACTGCATACAGATAAGTAGAACATTATCAGAAGCTGAGAGTCCTTCTGATAGTTTAATTAAATACATCACTTTTTCTTGTTTATCATTTATTTATAAATTCAAAACTTTTAGATCCAATTGTTTAACGTTCTTTAAGAACTTTCAACTATTAGACTCAATTAGTTATACAATATTTCTTCTGAGAAATCGTTATTGATCATTAAACAATTCCACTTTATAACAAAGTTTGTTCTAATCTCAACTACAAACCTTTATATTTTGGGAAGCGATTTATTATTTGAAGAACTTAATAATAATGATAATAAAGTTATAAGGGATATAAGATTTAACAATTCATATAAACAATAATAATAACTTAACATTATAATCGGATGTCATCGATGAATAAGGTTGACTCGGTAGCTACTCCCTTTGATAATTCCTCATATTTCAGACTATCTCTTAATCCATTTAAAGTTGTCTAAAGAATCTTAACAAGCTTATTACTACCTGTAAGATCTCAACTACAAACCTTTATAAAATATAAAGCGATTTATTACTTGAAAGTCATCCCTAAAAGACAATCCTCATTCATCCATTCACAATCTTTTGCTACCGTCGGGTTCCCTAATTTAAAGTCAATGGCAAGTCCAAGTTCGGTGTAATTGGGTTTACTCTGTTTTGATACATACATATAATGTATGTATGTATATTGTATGTATTTATTTGAATAGCTTGTCGAACTCCTTTTTGTTTCTTGTTTCTTCTTCGTTCGCAACTTGTATTCTACAATAAGTCGAAGTCGTCTCGTTTACATATTATACTGAAGAATCGAGAGTCGAATTCAGTTGGGCTGGGAGACTACCCCGTGCCAGCCTACTACATAAATATTTATTTATGTATGTATCAGCCGCAACCGTGGAAATACACGTACTTATGCAAAATAAAATACAGCATCCCACAGCATGAAGAAAACAACAAGAGCAACAACAATGGCACGAAACGCTTTGCGTAGCAACACAATAAAATAATAAAAAAAAATATATAGAAAGAGGCAAAATAAAATAAAAAGGAAACAAAAGCGCGCGTGGTTGTCAAGGAAACAGAAACTTGCATTTACCCGCGCCATCTTCAATGTATGTGTGTGCAAGTGTGCGTATACTTCTGAAGTTCACACTGCCGGCTGTGGGGCGATGTTCGTAGTTTTGGAGGCGACACGGAATATACCCTTACTACACCTTGAGTACATTTGCAGTAACATGAAGCTAACTCAGGCAACAGCTGCCGCTTACTGCTGCTCCCGGTTTTACAGTCAAGGGTAATATATATTAGCATTGTGAAAATGTGTGTAACGAACATCATAAACTATATAGAATATGGCTTCCTGCCTAGATGAATGCCTGGGCTTCGGAAAAGGTTGGACCTACCACCACTGACTTGGAACATGGACTTGTCCGTCTGTTTGTGCAAATGGATGCGGGTAACAACCACAAATCGGTTTACTGCGCACCGTTCTTGATGATATTACTTTATTGCCAGGGAATTTGGTTTCGCCATAGGAACGTACATACTGTGAAAAATTCAGTCTGGGCATAAAGACTTGTTAATAAAGACAACGTTACTTGTTTTTGTAATGCCTCATCACATTTCAAAGTTTCATCAAAACGGATTTAAATAAGCTGTCGCAAGCATTTTTTGTAATTATAAGTAACTATGTATATGTATATAGGACAATAAAGTTCACAAATCTTTTGCCAAATCATATAGCTGCCATAGCAGTGATTGGTGCAACAAAATTTATTTTTATCACGATGTGAGGGTTAAGCACAGAGTATACAAGAGTCGGACTGGCGCGACTATATCGTTCTAGTCGTTTTTATTGCGTTGCTACGAGTAATTCGTCAATATGTCTTGCTCAAGCTGCTGTTGCTGCGCTGATGACGACGCCAACACCACTACAGATGTAGATTATTAAGTTTAATTGATTGGCACGTCATGCTCATGAAATTAGTGGCAAGCTACAAGACAAACAACCATCGCAATGGAGAACCAAATGCTGTTGTGGGTGAGTGGATGGATGGATGAAGTTACATTATTTGAAATTATAATCAGATTTCATTCACAAACATATTTATTTACACAACTTGACGTGTAGGTTTTACATTCTCAGTAAACAATTTATTTAATTTTATTAATACATTGCAGTTAAAAAACGATTCTCCTTAATTAGCAGGTGTTGCATACACAATATACAAAATTTAACACGGAATCATGTTAAACAAGAGTTTAAGTAATACGCTTCTGTTTTTAAATATTTTTTAACTTCTATCGTGTAAGATGTTTTTCAGCGTGTTAAAAGAGAAAAGGTAGCAATTGTGTTAGACCGAGATCGTATTATAAGAGGTCGTGTTAAGCGAGTGCTAGGTGTATATCTTTAATCTGAATAAGACAAATATTTTTAATTATTTCGGATTTATTTCAAAATAAGCTTTTGAGTGAAATACCCTGTTTTGCTAATACTTTTTCTAGTAAATAAAGGTAAAAAATAACATAATTACATATTATTATTATTACATAACGTAGCCAAAGTTTTTGTTTATGTAGCTTCGGAATTGCCATACTGATATATCTATACTAATATTATAAAGAGGAAAGATTTGATTGTTTGTTTGTTTGTATAGTATATACTCGTACTTTCTGGGGTGGGAGATGCTTACTGTTACATGCTGCCTGTTACATGCTTTGTACAAACCCAATGCTACTGTAACAAATATAGCCAGGAATTTTTTTTTTTTTGGTACATTTGCAGTACTGTCACTGATAGCTCGCAAATTTCGCACAAATTTACTCATAACTGTTATTATAAAAATTACAAAATAATGATTAATTTTGAGTTATACTTTACAACTCAACTAAAAATCAGTATTTTTGAGTAAAAAAAAAAAAAAAAAATAAATAAATAATTATTCTTTGTTTTATTTTTTTGATCAAATATAAAACTCAAGCTGTAATTTTGTTTGAAAATAATTTATTGAGCATGTCTTATTTAGCCCAAAACTGTACTATAAGGGTTCATCTTGGCTTATTATTTAAGGATATACAGTGAAAACTCATTTGGCCGGAAAGTCATGGTCAGCCAATTTTTGTCCGCCCAAGGGGAGTGTCCGCTAAGGGGATACTTAAATACTTTATACACCGATCGAATGTTTTAGAAAAAGTGTCCGTCGAAGAGAGTGTCCGGATAAAAGAGGTGTCCGTTAAGGGAGTTTTCACTGTATACATATACACCTAGTTCTGATTTTACACGGTAGATTGGTTACAGAAACAACCGTGTAAAAAAATGCATTGATCATATGCAAAAATGGGGGATTGGTTCCGGATCTTTATAGAAATATATATGAAATTTTTAATTTTCAAACCATGTTATATTAAAACCGTGTAAAAACAGAATTAGGTGTAAATTATGTCCCTTTTCCACATGAAAACAGCAGGGAAAATTAAAACTTTAAAATCAAAAAATAAGACAACGAATAATAATAATTTTATGACAATATTTTTTTAAGGGGTAAGCTATAAACATACAAATTAGTCCATTGAAGACTTAAATGAATTTAATTACATTAGGAAACAAAATTGGTTGGGATTTCAATACCATGTGTAGTCATGAAGTGACATGTTTATTTAAAAAGCTTCTTTGAATTTTGGAAATTAAGTAACAAATAATAATCCTCTGATGCCACTAAGCAACTGCAAAAAGGCTACTACCGATGACTGAACTGAATCTAGAGATCTGGAAAAATCTTTTTGCATGTGATCATTGACAGCCAGAGGGAAATTCAATACGTTTAGTTTAATGCAGCTAGGATAAAGATACAAATTTTTACCAGTTGGATAAAAGACATTCAAGTCAAGCACTAATGTTTTCGCTTATAGTTTCATTGGTTATTCGGACGATTCAGGTTATATTTTTGCAACCACAGCACAGGCAGTCAGAGGAAAATTTAGTACGTTTAGTGTAATGCAGTTAGGATAAAGATACAAACTTTTACCAGTTGGATAAAACACATTCAATTCAAGCACTAATGTTTTAACTAGTTTCATTGGTTATTCGGACGTTTTACTTAATGTATTATGTGTATTTCGCTAATATTTTGATCGTTATAATTAATATTAAATTGGTTATGGACAAGTTGAAGTAGTTTCATGAAGGCACTTAAATAATATCACAATCAACTTCTAGATATGTGAGATGAGTTGTTCAAAATGTTAAATGCAGCCTTGATTGGAATAAAACCTACCCTAACTGAAGAGCTAACTTTTCTTTTTATCCTACTCAAATGTATATTCTTTGATAATGGAATACAAAATAATGTACCAATAAAATATGTAGCAAATCTGCAGATTGCATTCGTAAATTGTACGTATGGTTAAAGGCTTCAGTTCTTCTTTCATAACATTGCGTGCCGCTGCTGCTATTTTCTTCCCTTCCTTTCAAGAGCACGTGTCTGCGAAGATTCCTTGACTTCAACGGCGTTATTGAACGCCACATAGGGTATCTCACCATCGCTAGCATTACTGATACTGCTACTGGTTGGCGAGTTGCAGCTTTTAAATGAAGCTGAATCATTAAAACTATGGAGATGCTTCTTGGGGTAGTGTTTTCTGTATCCATGCTGCACTTTCCCAGAAGTATCCAAAATGGACTTGCCTGTATTATATTGACTGCTGTTTCTTGAATTGTTTTTTTCATCAGAGTGTGAACCGCTACTCCACTCGATATATTTAATACTGCTTGTTGAACTGCCGGTTAAGTCTAGGTAAGAACTGTTTGAATCGTTCGCATCAGGTTTACGCGGTTCAAAGAACTTTGGATCCCTTAGGTAGGGAAACTTATGCCGCCCACTGTGCATTATGGTAACATCCTCCGTTACTGGTTCGTCATCAACTTTTGGTTTGAGCCTACCCTGTGCCATGGACATCATGCCAAAATGACGCATCATGGCAACGGCTTCTTGCTCTATGGTACTTTCGTCATTCCAATCGGTTAAGGTGGCGTGTTCTCCTAAAGGCTTTGTCCCTGCAATTTTTTGTATGCGCTCCATCATTTCTAAGCTCTCGCGTATTTCTTTTGACTTTGATCCAATTGAACCATACACTTTCTCCAGCTCCTCATTGCGCTTCTCCCGTTCAGCCAGGTAGTCGTAATGTGATTTTGGGCGAGGCAAAAACTTCTCCTGCAGTTTTTCTTCGAAGGCCATCTGACCATAGACTAAGTTATAATCTGGTTGCAGATCAACGAGATCATCTTCGAAGTTAGTGGAAGGTTGCCAGGCCATTTGGTTTTCTTGCGCTATCAAAACAAATTGTTGGTTATGAGCTAAAAGCGAAAAGGGCCGGTAGCTTAGAACAATAGCGCACGATGTAAATGCAATTCATTCAACATAACCTTCATCAAATTTGAATCCGGTGAGCTGCATAAAGAACCAAAAACAAAAGTTGGCGCGAAGTTTTGTATCACACAAACAGTATTTAGTTTGTGTGTATGTATACAGTTTCACTCACCTATTGAAATGTAAGAATGATATTAAGTGTAATTCCAAACGACGCAACTGTCGCAACACCTTTTACAAATAAAAGCTATAATTTCAAAGGAAATTTTCCAAAAGTATGCAAGACGCAGTTTTGCAAGTGTTGCCTTAAAATAATTTTACAGAAAAAATGTTCGACCTTTTTTAGTACTACGTAAAATGGGGTTGGTCGTAGTCGAAATCTAAAATAAACTGCGTTGATAAAATATTGACACAAAAGTATATGGCTCTCAAGAAAAAAATATATCTTTCGGAGCACAATTTACGATCGACTTTTACTAATAAAAAACACTCTCAACATGCCGGTTGAGTATTTAAAACTCTGCACAATTAAGGACACACTGTTCTACAATATTACCGCATACATCTTTCTCGCTTGCACTTCGCAGCCCTTGTATGGGCGACCATACACGAAAGAACGAGATGCAGCAGGAATTGCGCCAAAAAAGTCAAACGCGAAAATACACAAGAAAAATGCAAAAAAGATATGGAGACCACGCTACGACAGCGACTTCCCTTTTCTGTTTACTCAACAAACAATGCTATCAATACACAGCAGTTGCTTCAACCATTTATAGTCAATTTTCTATTCTTTGTACAGAAAACGTTCTACTTACAGGCTTTGTTGTTTCGCACTGACAGCGGTGTATTTTCGCACACCTTTCGGCTCCGACTGGCCACTGCACCGAAAAACGTTTGTTTGTTTATTAACACACTTTTCCAATATTTAATTGGCACGACGTTCAACTATTATAATATATGCACATGTTTTCATTAATTATTTTCAACAAATTAAAGTTGCACTGCAAATTTCACACCGCCGCCACCATGGCATGTAGGGTTGTGTCGTTTCACTCAGAACAAGTTCATTGAACTCAGTTCAAGAAAGTAGTTCCTTGAAATGAACTGGAGAATCGTGGATTCTGTTCATTTGCTGACATTCCATTCTTTATTCTGTTGAGTTCAAAAACTACTGGGTTTCTCATAAATGTAATTTATGCGTTCTTAGAAAAGTTATTAACTATTTTATATTCTCCATATATAATATTAGACGCGATTAGCTATTTTAAAATTAACGTGTTAAATGTAAAACTAATCACTCATGAAACATTTCAAAAGTTTCTTTGTCAGGGATATATCTAAAATTAATGAATCTTATGCAAATATACTGTAAAACCTAAATATTTAACATGTATTATTCTCAATATCAATCTTAATCACGCATTGTTATGTAATTAACAAATAGAAAGGGCGGGCGATTTAATAAAGCAGTTACGGCTGCCACTGATTCGTTGTTATCGATATTTTTCGATTACTATCATGAGTCAGTAATTGATGGCACAAATAGTGGTTGAAAACGCACAAATTCATGACCGTGAATTGGCGCCACTTTAAAAATTAAGTGGATGTCAAGAATTCAAAAACAAAAAAACAAAAATTTGTAATAGTTATTAAAAGTCTATATGATTACACAACAACTTGCTGTTTGCAATTGGAAATCCTGGTTTGAATTCCGACCGAAAGCGCCCATCCGGTATCAACTTTTGCACCTTATAGCCGCAAAGTTCATTGACCCAAAATGGCATGCGGGTATTTTACTATTACACACATGCGCGCACTGCAGCAAATTGCCGGCACCTTACTCATTTTTGCGTTCGACTCTGCAATTTCATTGAGTTTTCCTGACATCATTAATAAAAGCTGCTCAACAGAAAATTCGCCACGCCGAATCATCATCATACATACATAGTCGGAAAGTTCGCCTTTCGCCGCATCGCCGTTGCAGCGCGCATTCCCACGCTCTGACAGGGAGTCCTTGCACTCGCTGTCACCAGTAGGCCAACAGTTGCAAGTCGACAGCTGGGCCAAACGCACGAAAATTCGGAAACAACCATTCGCGAACAACGAACAATAAATACAACGAAGAAATTATTAAAGTGAATAACATTATTTTCGAACACACATATGAAAATACCAAACCCACAAACACAAACAGAATAATTTAATGAGCAAAATAAATTTGAATGTGGTCTTGCCTTTGTTTGTGTACTGCCCGGTTTTGCCACTAAAGTAATTGGCCAAAATATCCGGTTAACAGAGTGGTCGCTGTTGTTGTTGTTACTACAACAGCCCCCTCATTAAATAAGCAAGTCAACTGATGTACAACTATAACGAAAGCAACAACAACCCCCGAGAGTTTTAATTGGTTAGCCCCAATCCCAGTGACCGAAGGAATCAACTGTGTTCGCTTTCCTAAATTGTCATAAATTCGTTTATAGGTCAAACACCCTCTTCAAATTTTCAAACCAGTTCTACGCCCCGGCTAAAGCAGAGTGCGTGTGTGTGTTTGTTCGTTTGCGTGTGTGTGCACTTCCGGTTACAGTGCATGTAACGGAAATAGGAAAGGTACACATAGAGAGAGACTAGCTAGATTTTTTAAATGAGCATTCTAAATTAATGAATACTACTTAAAATTGCGGAAGGTTATTGCATTTAAATATATTCCCCATACGAGAGTGGATCTATAAGTTAATTGACGGTAATCAGAGATTTGTTGTCTGACCAAAATATATTTCGTTTTTTTTGTTTTTAATTTTATAAATGCAAGTTTTAACATGTCGTTATACTATAAATATTTATAGTCGACATCCAACATTTTTTTGCTGTTTTTTACATCCTGAATGATTTTTTTTAACGGTCAACCGATAGATAGTAATAATGTTGCATTTGCAAAACGATAAATGACAAAATTCACCAACTTATTAATCCACCCTCGTACTGAACAGCTCATCGGGCAGTTGTAGCTTGTGCGCCCATAAACAAATTAAAAACCAATTGTATAACCTAAAACAAATGGAAAACCAATCATAATCAAAATATTTTTATCAAATAAATAAAATTGTTTATTTTGTAAACAACATTTTCGCGCATTTCCTCACGTATCCAGCCCAAAATTTATTGCCTAACAACAAATAAAGCAACAACAGCGATAAAATCAAAAACAGCAACTACAACCAGAAGTCAAAGCATTCAACTTCGCATTTTATTACATTTCCCATTTAAATTTTCACTTTTGGACTCCTTGACTCTTGCTTTGTGAATATAGCACTGGAGGTTTTACGACAACAAACCCGTTCGATTGCCGCACTTAAGAGGAAATCTCAACTCAAGGTAAGCACAAACCACAGGCTTAAGATTGGATATATATAGTATACTCGTACATATGTACATATAGTATGTATGTATAGTCAGTTAGTCAGTCACTTTTTTTTTGCAATTTTTTTTTGTTTTCTTTGCTGCCACTTACCTCTTGGTTTGCCTACTTGTCCCAGTTTCCCAGCTCCTCAGTTTTATGCAAACCAACCAAAAACAACAGACTACTCGTATTGGCAATTTTCATAAATTGAATACAGTTTTTGGAGAAGAACTTGTCGATGTTGTTGTGCCTTAAGAGTTGTGCACGGGCCGTTGGAGATTGATGAAAAATATTTCTATACATACTAAAATCTATTCACTCGATGAATCAGCATGAAACATTTTAAAACGATTCTTTAAATTTTATGTCCATCCTCGTCTGCGTTTAAAGACGCCTTTTTACAGTTTCTGATTGAAACAATTTAGAAGAACCAGAACATGAGCTTTTTTTTTATTCAAATAAAGTTTGGCCTAGGCTAGTCGGTATTATATACATTTACATATATTATATATAGATCAAGGCTTCAGGACTAAACAGGTCAGGACAATGATTGATAGCATTTTCGAACTCATGAAAATGAAAACTTCTGGGAGTATCAAAATTTTCGTGAACTTTTCGAAAATTACATTCAATTTTAAAATGATTTTCGTTAAATATGCAACCAAATCATATTTAAGATAAAATACACCAAAAGCTTGATGTAAGCTTTATTCTCATTGAGGTGATTAAATAATTAATTAATTAATTTTTAAATATGTAATTTATTTTTTGAATATTACACAAATTTATTTGTGTTGTGTTTTTATAAAACATTTTAACGTAATTTTAAGTTTCTTTTAAACTTTTTTAAATGTTATTTTTTAGTAACATAAATGCCATATTGCGAGACAAATGAGAAAATATTACAGTCATAGAGCGGGTTGTTGTAACAAATTAATCACAGTTTTCTATAATAATTATCACCTACTTTAATCGATTCGGCTTGCGCTTATATATTAAATTAAAAGCATTTGAAAATAAACAAGTTTCATTTATTTGAGCAGACATACATATCTGGTTTATAAATGATTGTTTGTAACCATATTTGGTATTACGATTGATGTCAGAATTGGTGGGAAAATATGTATTTGAGCTATAGAAAATAACTTCTTAAAGCCGAGAACAAAAAATTTCGAAGCTGAAGAATCATTTGCCGATACTCAGTATTGTATCTAATCAGCGATTTTAAGTCTACTAATAATTCCATTACAAATCAGAATTTCAAAACATAAAAGTAATATACAAGTCATTCAAACTCATACATTTCTCATAAACTTTTGTGTCAATTTTATTTGGCCAAGCAGTTAACCTGGCCAGCTATTCATACTATATTTCCGTGCAATGCATTATAATATGCAAGCGATGAAAACGAGTTAACCTACTTTTCTTTGCCTATGTATGTGTGTCACATACATTTGCTCTATAGTCTGCCCCATACACAGACACACACGCACACACACACACGCACGGACACGGCAGCAAATAACAACAACAACATCAGTCATGAAGGCATTGCATTTGCTTTGCGAGCAAAGCGTTTGCATGTCTCGCTTAGCGGAAACGCTCACACATATAGATACATGCGCTCACACAGACACATTAATAAATAATAAAAGGCACACAGACACACACACTAAGCTTTGTGTGGGGTAAGGGGTGGAGGGGGAATGTGTAGCGGCATTTAAACAGCTTTTTAGCAAAAACAAAACACAAAACGGTTACAAACTAGAGCGGCGCAAGGGGGTAGGAAAAGGAAAGTTCGCGCCGACTGAGTGCACTGCCCTCAATTAGAAGGCTCAAGGACAGTAGCAGCAACAACAACAACAACAACTTGCATGATGTTACAACGCTGCGTATACGTAATATGCACATGCATTGACTTTTGATTTTTTGTGTGCGTTTTTTCTACTTTTTCTTCTTCTACTACTTTTATTCTTTAGCCTTAGCGTTTGTTGTTTTGGTTGTTGTTGTCACTTGGCTCTAGGGCTTGAGCAGTGGGTTGCCACAAAACACTCAAGAAGTCGTACATATGTATGTTTGGCCTTCAAAAAGAAAAGGACATGCTTCAAAAGAACAAAGTGAAGGGAAAATATGAAAACAACGCGAAGGCAATAGAATATGGAAACAATGAAGTCTTTGAAGCATGCACTAAATGTCCTAACAAATGCTGAAGTAAACTAATCACGTTTCATTCAATTTTTTCACATAATTCATTTATAAATTTGACTAATAAGTAATCAGAAGAAGAACGGCGGCTAATTAACCAAGTTAGCAATATATATCATTTTTAATTAAGAGAACAAGAAACGAATTTACAATTTATTGTTGCAATTTGCAGCCATATCTGCGGATGATAGAAAAGTAATAACTAATGTTTCGTGCAGTTCGTGCAGGAAATGGAATGGCTATGGATAAAAATATGAGCAAATAAATAAAGCAAACTTAATCCTATTTGAGAAAGTATAGAGGCAGATGAAGCTCACAGCTTCTGTTTTCTAGAAACTAAATGAATTAATAATCAAAGAAAAATATGTTTGCATATATTTGCTTTTTTTGGAAGTGGGTATAGGGTTTTTAAAAGTCAGACCAACTT